GTGACAGTAATATAATGAAAAAATGCCCATTTGATAAAGGGTACTTTCATAATCAGACACATATACAGTACTGTGCAAAAGTCTTAGGCAGGCAAAGAAAATTATGTTTAGATTATCCTCGTGTTGGTGTAAAACTATGATATTATGCCTGTCAGTGTGTCAGCTTAGCCATTTCAGAACCTCTGCTAAAATCACCCCAGTATTTGCAGTGACCATCCAGTGCAGCCATGTATTTTTTGACTTGGTCACTAGCACACCTCATACAGCAAGTCAATCTGTCACTGACTTTTTTATTTATTTAATTATTTAATTGAGCTGTTGGTGAAATTGAACAAAATCATGGAGCAGCTGAGGTGCCCCTGAGGAGAAGTTTGGGAACTGAAGCTAGATATCAGTAACTTTTTTGAAAACAGAAGTAATTATTACTAGTTTTTATTGTGTTACTCTTAATTTGCACATGTTCTAATGTTAAATTGTGTTTTTTGTTCTAAGCCAAAGTACACTTGCTACCCAGATAAACAGCTTTAAACATTTCTTTGGACTGCCTAAGACTTTTGCACAGTACTGTATTTCCAAAGAATTAAAATTAGAAAATGTGCAAGAGCTAGATGTAATATATAAAGATTACCAAAGTCTCTGTTTTGCTAAACTGTCCCCAGGCAGCATCTATCTCATGCCCACAAAAATCATTGCTGCAAATAAGGCCATGCAAGAATAACCAAGGTGCATGTAAAACGCCGCAAGTCTGTAGTATTGCACAATAATGCAAAATAAGCAACTATATGTAAGGAACCTGAATGACAGAATGTAAGACTGGTGGGGAAAGTGATCAGAGAAAGAACAGGCCAAAATCCAGGCCAGAACTCCCCACCTCTGAACACTCCTCTGAACACTCCTCTGATCACTCCTCTGATCACTCCTAGTGGCACCTCCCCTGCCATCTGTCCAAAGCACCAACTGTGCAGTTAAATCACAGCTTCACTCCCTGTCCAACTCAATCATCACAAATGGTACAAAGTTAATAGAAGAGCTTCTGAATGTTGCTAGAGGAGTGTGAGAAAAGGTGCTGCAGAAAGACGAGGGTGAACTGCATACTAAATGCAGAGCGCTATGTTTGATACAGGAATGTTATCAATCCCGTCATTACCAAGTTAAAATGGCTCAGTCTCTCCCGAACAGTAGCTTTTACAATGCCTATACGTCCAGTAGAATTAACCTGTGATGGACAGGCTTCCTTTCAGGGATGCAGCCCAGCCTTGTGCTTTATGCTGCCGAGGATGAGCTCTCAGATCCCCCACAACCCAGTTCAGGATAAGTGGTGGGAAGAAGGATTCTGACAGAATTTCACAAAATGGAAATCCACAGGAAGTACTGCAATAAAGAGTAAAACTTACTATCAAATATAGAAGATATTTTTTTTTTATTATTCTTTTCTATCCAATTCAATCATATTGCCACTTTGGCTTCATAATGCTGCCAATTTAAATGGCTGCATTAGATAAGGGAAATTGCCAACATGATAGGTAGTAAATGCAAGTTACTGGTATTCACAAATCACTGTGTCCTATACAAGGGCTTCTGCACCAGGTGTTTTGCAAGAGAGCAGTATTACCTTGGTTTTAGATCTTTTCCCCTTTATATTCTCTGAAGACAGAAGTATATGTTTTAATTTTGAATTGTGGTGGGTGGAAATGACATGAAGATGGATTTGAGTGGGATTAAAGAGAGGAAGTTTAACAGATGATGTGCTGCATGAGCTCTTTCCCCGCTGTCTTCACAGGCAGATGGGACACCTAAGAGGACTATTGATAACACAATGATATATTGACTCTGCAGGTTAACCCAGACTGAAGGAGACCAGCGTATTTATAATCCCTTTCAGCTTTAAATGTTTTGCTGCTTTGTGACTTTGCATGGGTGGGCAGATTGGGCCTTTGGTTTTATTCTGTTTTCCAAATGTGGGTAGAAAGTTAATGAGAAACAAACCGCCTCTTCAAAGGTGCTAATTCACATAAAAATGCAAAACACATTATTAAAATATAAATATATATTTTCAACACATTCATTTATTTTTCCATTAATATTTATAACACTACTGTATAACACTAATATATAATAATATAACATATAACAATAAGATATAATAGTATTGGCTTTAAAATAGACTAATAAATAAATAAATACATTTTCATATTATGTCCTGCGATGGGTTGGCGCCCCATCCTGGGTTGTTCTTGGCAAATGAAAATCTGACATAAAAAGAAGATGGTTCAAAAAGTTAAAAGACAATGTTACAATTAATAATTTAATGTAATAAAATTCAATTAGAATATAATTGTTTTTGATGTATTTAATATCATGTTCATGTTCACTATTTCTGAATCCTGTTTAACTTGTCAAAAACAAAGATAAACTCCAGAAAAGTGATGGGACATTGTGTTGTACTCATAACAAATGTCCCGTGGAGATTTTTGGAGAAGGTGTAGTACTGTACATGTGTATTTATGTATTCGGAAGTCATCACACATTTGCTTACGTCTTTCTCTTGCTTTCTGTACGCATTACATTTTTCTCCAGACTGTCCTATCTGCCTACAGATATGAGTTTGGGAAATACAGTTTAGGTCAATCAGGGCCAGGATAGCTCAGCTCTATTCTATTGTACCACAAGAGCTACTGTAGCAATTGTTCTACAATTGTTATTGGATTTAAAATGACAATGGAATAAAATTTCATATTACAGTATGTCCTGCGATGGGTTAGCGCCCCATCCTGGGTTGTTTCCTGCCTTGTGCCTATAGCCTTGGGATAGGCTCTGGATCCCCACAACCCTGAATAGGACAAGAAGATGGATGGATGGATGGATGGATGTATTCAATTTCATAATAATAATAGTTTGTATATAGATTGTATATTATAGAAAGGTATATAGAATGTGCAGTTTTTGCATTTTCTTTGGTTGTTACCTTACTGATCCCATTAATCACAGCCTGTGGTTTTCTGGGCCAAAATTTTGCTTCCTGCTGCAGGTTTCAGAAACAGATGGAGCAAGCATACATTAAAAAGGACTTCTGTCTACGGTTCCATTAACTTACTGTGGCACCCAACCAGCAGGACCTCTGGAAGTCCACCGCAGCATTGGCTAAAACCTACTGCCCCCTTAACTATCACCTAATGTACACACAGTACCTTGGAGCACCTGAGCACCCATCCAGGTGAAGAGACTGTAATGTCAGCAGAGAGTGAGCACAAAATGAACAGTAATGCTGAGAAGCATTTTTTGAAAGCCACCCGCCATGAAGCTGATGCTGGCAGCTATTATCATTCAGTATTAATAACGCCTTTCCTGTAAATTTGATGACGCTGCCTAGAGTGATCAAAGAATTTCCCTGCCGTGCCATCTGTTAATTATTGATAATAATTATCTGATAATACTTATCTATCCATCCATTTTCAATTTGCTTCTCCTGGTGAGGGTCACAGAGGCAGCACGCCAAGCACAAGAGGCCACACCTCTCTTCCAAGGCCAAAGATTCAGGCTTGCTTTCTGGCATTGCCAGGCATTCCCAAAGAAGCCAGGGAACATAATCCCTCCAGTTTGTCCTGGTCTACTGAGCAGACAGTGCCCAGAACAGCTCTGTTGGGAGCTGGCTAAGAAGTAGGAAATGCCCATATCAACTGAGAGGACTCTCCTTGATGTGAAGGGGTAATGACTCTATTTTGAGGTCTCTCAAGTTTGACCTCCTCCTCCACCCCTGTCATAGAGAGTGAGCCCTTGTCTTGAGGAGAAACTCCATTTGAGGGACTTTTACTGAGGATCTTGTGGGTTTGGTCAGTTCCCCCAGCTCATAATTATAGCTGAGGATAGGGGCACAGACTGACAGGTAAACAGCTTTCCTCCACTGACGGCTTGCTGCCTGCTGCCTTATCCCGGATCTGCTCTTAATTGCATCCACTGAACCGATTCGCCTGTCAGTCTCATGTTCCCTTTTACCATTACAACAAGGACAAGAACAAAATCCTGAGGTACTGAAATTCCTTCACCAAGGGCAGACTTTCTCTGCTTACCTGAACTGAGCAATCCATTCTTTTTTGAGAAAAGACCATGGCCTTACATTTGTAGATGCTGAAATCAAACCTGCTTCATTTCCCTGCTGTATCACACCACTCAAGTGGATGCTGGATGTTCTGGTTTAATAAGGCCGAAAGAATGGCAACATCTGCGGATAGCAGGAAGGTCACCCCTAGCGCTTCGTAACAGACTCCAGGAAATGTACTCTAAAGGACCTCGACTTTGTGACAAAGATGAGGACACAGCCTTTATTTACAATAATTTAGCCGATGCTTTTGTCAAAGGTGTTTGAATGTGGTGATTGTTATGGTCAATCAAAGGCTTACACAGAAGCTCAACAAGAAGTTCACTATCACAATTAGATCTAGGAGGCAATAATAATCATGACCTTCCAGGTATTTCTTCCACATGTGCATTGAAGTTACCCAGTAGGATCACAGAGTCCATAATAGGTATCAGTTTCATCACCTCTCCCACTTGCTCGACAAAGTCTGAGTACTCTTAACTACTGTTTGCTAATGAGTACTCTTAAGTATTGACTGATACACAGTGGCGCAGATAGGATTTTTGAATTGGGGGGGACCAAGGATATTTTTTCCTTATGCAAAGACAGCAGATGCTGTTTTTTCGTTCTGTAAGTGGGGGGGACGGCTCGAGGTCACTCTGAATCTGAAGGGGACCCATCCCATCCGTCCCTGGTGCTTACTGCGCGCCTGCGGATACATACACACAGGCAGCAGAGTTTTCTTCTCTACAACTTTCTATCATATAGAGGCAACCTGTTTACAGGTTTATGACACCCTCACTGGAACTTGAGGACTGGTTCAGACACCTTTACTGGGATGACATTGCTGTTACAGACACCTTTACTGGGATGACACCACTGTCACAGACACCTTTACTTGGACATGAGGACTGGTTCAGACACCTTTACTGGGATGACATCAATGTCACATATGTATTTATTGGAATAACATCACTGTCACAGACACCTTTACTGGGACATTAGAACTGGTTCTGGCACCTTAACTGGGATGACATTGTTACAGACAAATTTACTGTAATAACATCATTGTCACAGGCACCTTTACTGGTATATGAGGACTCGATCAGACTCCGCTGTCACAGACAGCCTTACTGGGCAGATCTTCAGGGCTCCAGTGTTGCTTCCTTTATTATTCACACATGGAGAGAAAACTGGAAACAGGGTCCCAGTGAACCTGTCTTTAAAGGTGTAGATGAGTGACATGTCAGCAGGGTTGAAGAAGGACACCTCCCCCCTGTCATAGTCCAGCTGCACTCTGATCCTCCGCGGTTTCCACTTCACTCTCAGGCGGGTTGATGGTGAAGTGAATGCTTTGTACTCATCACCATTCCGCAGACCTATTACCCAGAATCCATTCTGTGGGCTGCATGTAAACTTCCCCCTCCTCATGGCGGATCCCTTTACCACTCCTACATCCCACTCAGGTTTGTCCCCCACTGTCACCTCCCAGCTGCGTTTTCCTGAGTTAAACCCCTCAGAGCCCAGCACATTCACATAATGAGTGAACCTCTCGGGGTTGTCGGGTAACTGCTGTTTAACTCCAGTGTCTCTCAGACTGGTTAGATCATCAGACACAGAGAGCCAGGGGTGTGCAGTGTTCAGGTCTAGAGTCACAGGAGCTGTGGGTTACAGAGAAAGTTAATCATTTTTCTCAATACAGTAAAAAAAACCAACATTAGCATTTGCACAGGTTAACATTTCACAAATGGAAGCTGGACAAATACAGTGTAAACTGGTAAGAATAACATGCTACTTTTTATTAAAGTGGCTCTTAAAGGCAATTATTTTGTCTAATCTAAACTGATATACGTTTGTGTGAAAACAGGAAATTATGAAGCATTTAAACGTTTCTATCTGTCAGTATTTTTTAAGAAGAATGCCAATTAATATCTTGAGCATTTTAAAAATACTAATAAAGACTAAACATTGTTTTTCTCTATACACCCATCTGCTCTGCTCCCTAACATCACAGACACACAGCTGTCAGGGAGCCAGCTGAGGTACCAGTGCTGCTAGGCTGAGCTCCCACTGAGTGACAGAATAATCCACTCAGATACTGCTGTCTGCTTTATACAGCCATTTCCCCCAGTACTCACTGTACCAGTGCTGCTAGGCTGAGCTCCCACTGAGTGACAGAATAATCCACTCAGATACTGCTGTCTGCTTTATACAGCCATTTCCCCCAGTACTCACTGTACCAGTGCTGCTAGGCTGAGCTCCCAGTGAGTGACAGTGTAATCCACTCAGATACTGCTCTCTGCTTTATACAGCCATTTCCCCCAGTACTCACTGTACTGCACAATCTCCAGCATCTTCTCCCAGACTTTGAACCTCAGAGAGCCCAGGTGTTTGGTCACATCTATCAGTGCCCCTGAAGGCAGCTTTGGGTACTGTAGTGAGCACTGGGCTCTGCAAAGACAGGCAGGAGTGAGTGATGCTGTGGGGTCTGAAGGGAGTCAGACACACAAGAGGAAGGTGACTGAGAGTTTGTAGCATCATTAACTCAACTCAGTCCAGATAATTTGTTGATTGGATTAAAGATTCATTAAGGAATATGTGTGTTTGCGTGTGTGTGTGTGTGTGTGAGAGAGAA